ATATATATATATATATATATATATATATATATATATGTATGTATGTATATATAAAAAAGGAAAAGAAAACACAACGTTCGTTTGGTCAAAATAACTTTGGTCCACAATGTTTCGATACTATTTAACGATAAAAGGAAAATTTGTTATTTTCCTGGAACGCGACTCGTAATACACAGTTATTATTAAATGAGAATGATTAAAAATTGTTCTTTTTTTCTCTTTTTGTTGATTTTTTTTGTTTCTTTTTATTATTATTATTATTATCCTTCCTCGCGATCTACCGCGAAGCTTAAACGCCTTAAAAAACTTCTACGTCGCGAACGTTTTCTCGTCGACGAATTCGCGTTATTACGCGGTAAAGGCAAAGGCATGATTTTTGTCGATTTTATTATTGGCCCGGTTGTGTTGTAAATTTTCGGTCAAAACGATAGATTGATTATATACGGGGAGAATAATTTCTCGATTAAATTTTTATCGAACATAAAATATCCTTTCATTGCTGTGGACCGAAAATAAAGAAAAGCAGAGATAAATATATATGTGCATGCGTGTATATTATTTGATATGTGTGTGTATGTCTGTGTGTGTATGTGTGTTTATGTGTATATATAGACAGGGAAAGAGGTTAGTTTCGTTTCAAGAACACTTCCCTCAGTCACCTTCGGCACGGTATCGCAGTGAACTTGCTTTTTTGTATCGTTTTCCGTACCGGAGTCGAGGTCTTTCGATATTCTCGCGCTTGTAAGCGCGCGCACCTTCTTCTTCTTTCTCTTCTTCCTTTTTTTTTTTTTTTTTTTTTTTTTTTTTTTTTTTTTATCAAATAAAAACTTTCTGATAACAAAAAGTTATTCAAGATTTAACTTTAATTACAGTCAGTTGTTTCTCTCGTCCAAAAATAAAATTCTTAATAAGAAGGTATCATAGGGAATTTGGACATCAAAAAATATATATTATTATTATATTTTATATAACGGATTAAGACTTAACGAAGTGTAGATGTTTTGTGTTTTGAATATTAAAAATAAAAATAAAAATGTATGTCTACTTATAAAGAAAAAAGACGCTGAACTTTAAAGATTGCTGAAGAAGTCCCAATAAAGGGAAGAAACGTCCAACTTATCAAAATTAAGTTCTACTTCTTTTTTTGATGTCCAAATTCCCTATGATACCCCTTCTTATTTAATTACAGTTATTAGCCAAAAACAAAAAAAAACGTATTGTTAAGATAAAAAAATAAAACGAAGAAAACAAATTTCTATTAATCTTACATTTCATTTTAAAGACCGTATAAATTCCTATCTTATGAGTTTCATAATATAATTTTTGTCGGAAATATTTTAAAAGTTAATGGCAACGATAATTTAACGTATCACATTCGACAGCGAGTTAATATTTGTAAAACTCGGTTGTGTAAATATTCATAAATTTCCATCGTCGTCTAAAACGTAAAGATGATGTATTTACATTAGTATACATAATATATAGATATATATTTATAGATACGGATATGTATAAATATATATTGTGTATTAACATAAAAATTTTAATACTTCAATGAACATTCAAAATAACACCAATACATAAATTATGACCAATGTATATCCGACCATTTTTGTGTACTCGTATTTAAAAAATATAATATTAACTGTTAATTGTCAAAAGTATTAATATCGAGTATAACACAAGCACACGAATATATATTATACATTACGTAAGTGATTTAAAAAAAAATTATTAGAAAAAAAATAAATCATAAATATTAAATTATATAACATAGAGCGTCTATGTTCAGCCAAAAGTCATTAACTGCATTTTCATCATTTTTCATGACAAAATTACAAAATTACATTTTAAAATAACTTTTTTTGAATTTACTAACCATTACTCCACATAAAAAAGAAAAATAACATCAATAGTAGTATATGAGAAAGAATTATATAAAAATTCAAAAACAAAGTATACTTCTCTCCCCCAAATCTAATTTTTTCTCAAATTCAATATTAAATTTGATAAGTAATAAACTCAGATTAGCATAAATATCTTAGTTAATAACTTTTGACTGAACATAGACAATATATATAAAATGTTACTAATAAAATTAATACAAAATTTAAGATAAAATTGATCAATAAAAAAAAAAGTGTTTCACGCATTTGAATGCGCGCAAGTAAAGGACTATAAATTTCGAAAATGTTGCATGTTCAAAACGACTCTTATTAAAAAGTACCCGCGGAATTCTCGTTCCAACTCTGAACTCCGATGTTTCGTATTGGAGTAAATACGACGAAGAAGCTGATCGGCTTCTCAAACTCGTTCGAAGCTAGAGCCTCATTAGGAAAAAGAAATAGGACGGAAGGAAGGGAGGGAAAGAGGAAGAGAAGAAACGAAAGAGGGCTACAAGTGAGAAAGACAGAAGAAGAGAGAGAGACGAACGAACAGACAGACAGACGGACAGAGAATGAGAGAGAGAGAGAGAGAGAGAGAAAAAGTAAGAAAAAAAAAGTAAAAAGAGAAAGAGTAGAGGGAGATTAGAAGCGGAAAGCAAGTTTTACCTAATAGCCGAGTAGTAAACAGACTCACCGATCCCTTCGACGACGTAACGATCCTTGGGGTTCATTTCCGCGATTTCCGTCACGCTTACGACGATTCTAACGCTCATCGTCCTTCCTTTATCTTTTCCTTCTCCCTCTCCTTTGCCTTCTTCGTCGTAGTTGACGAAACGACTGAACAGGACCGAACGGAACTGCCGACCGGTTCGGTCCACGATTATTCAGTCTTGTGAGCCGCTAACCTCCACACACCTCTTCTTCTTCTTCCTCTTCTTACTCTTCTTACTCTTCTTCCTCTTCTTCTTTTTTTCTCCTCTAAAAAATTAACACTCGACCAAACACGATATATATATATATATATATATATATATATATATATGTATGTATGTATATATAAAAAAGGAAAAGAAAACACAACGTTCGTTTGGTCAAAATAACTTTGGTCCACAATGTTTCGATACTATTTAACGATAAAAGGAAAATTTGTTATTTTCCTGGAACGCGACTCGTAATACACAGTTATTATTAAATGAGAATGATTAAAAATTGTTCTTTTTTTCTCTTTTTGTTGATTTTTTTTGTTTCTTTTTATTATTATTATTATTATCCTTCCTCGCGATCTACCGCGAAGCTTAAACGCCTTAAAAAACTTCTACGTCGCGAACGTTTTCTCGTCGACGAATTCGCGTTATTACGCGGTAAAGGCAAAGGCATGATTTTTGTCGATTTTATTATTGGCCCGGTTGTGTTGTAAATTTTCGGTCAAAACGATAGATTGATTATATACGGGGAGAATAATTTCTCGATTAAATTTTTATCGAACATAAAATATCCTTTCATTGCTGTGGACCGAAAATAAAGAAAAGCAGAGATAAATATATATGTGCATGCGTGTATATTATTTGATATGTGTGTGTATGTCTGTGTGTGTATGTGTGTTTATGTGTATATATAGACAGGGAAAGAGGTTAGTTTCGTTTCAAGAACACTTCCCTCAGTCACCTTCGGCACGGTATCGCAGTGAACTTGCTTTTTTGTATCGTTTTCCGTACCGGAGTCGAGGTCTTTCGATATTCTCGCGCTTGTAAGCGCGCGCACCTTCTTCTTCTTTCTCTTCTTCCGTTTCTTCCTCTTCTTCCGTTTCTTCCTCTTCTTCCGTTTCTTCTTCTTCTTCTCCTTCTTCTTCCCCTTCTTCTTCTTCACAATTTTACACTTAACAAATATACTCGTAAAATATACTATATATATTCACTGGTAATTAAAAATATCGTATCATTTTCTTATTATTCGAAAAGAAAAGAACAAAAATATTCTTAGATATACCGTTAAGGATAAAAATTCATCGTGTCCCTTGTTTTCTTCATCTGTTATTTTCTCTATCCTTCCAAGTTTGTATAACCACGTGTAAAATTTAACCTTAATATATATATATATATATATATATATACACACGTTTCTATATTTTACATATATATATAAGTATATAGGTATATATAAATGTATGTATAGTTGAATATTCGTTAATAAAATTCAAAATCAAAGGAGGAGTGGGATAACACTCGCGCGCGCGCGAAACTTACGTGTGTCGGCTCTGAAGTGCGACAGGTGTGTGTCAGCGGTTACGATCTACAGAAGAGAGACGTCCAGGAGCCATTAGGAAGGGAGAGAGAACATGTATACAGTAGAAAAGAGTAGGGATAAAACGAAGGTAGCCTCGAGCGCACCTGTGACTCGCATGAGGCCCAGTGCGCGGGCCTTCGACCGGCTCTTCACGTTCGGATTCTGTCTCCTTCCTTCTTCCTCCTTCCCCTTATCCCTACCCCTATCCCAACCGCTACCCCCTTTCTCCATTTCCTTCTCTTTCTCTCTTTTCGCCATCTCACGACAAACGGAACAAGGAACAACGATCATCGTCACTCGACACAACACACACTTATACTTCCGACTGCAATACTGCTAATTACATTTGTCGGTTATATTACTGAGTTTTGTTACCCTCCCCACCCCTCCCCACCACTTCTTTTACTTTTACTTTTACAATTAGTTGGGTATAAATAAATGTCTTGTTGATTTAAATGTTTATTGTGTTATTAACAAGTAGGTCCTATAAGATATTTAGCAATAAGGAATAAATTTGATTGTTTGATCGGTTTTTATATACATATTAGTTATTTTTTCTTTTTTTTTTTAAATATCGAGTATTTTGTAAATGGTTTATGTTCTTTGAGTTATTCTATATATCTTATATACTGTACTTTTCAATTTATTTGTTATATGCAGTAAATTAGTTTTTATAAGAATCATATATATTTACTATAATTCAATTTATAATTATAAAGATTTTTTTCAAATGATAAAAAGTTAAAAAATTATTCAAATAGGATTGGATCTAATATTATCAAATCAATCAAATCGATACTAACAGCCTTTAAACGTTACTTATTTGTTCTTTAATATATATATATATATTTATATTTATATTTATACACATATACCATTATATATCCTCAAAATAAAATAAATGTACACTTCAATTATTGTTTATAATCGATTTCTATAATTATGTTAACTTAAAAAACAATACTATTACATAAAGTAATCTATTATCTTTAGGTAATATTGGAATTACTCATACTTAACATATGTACATAAGATGAAGCGCTTAAATGAGATCACCTGAATGTAGTTTAGTTGCTTATATATGGTATACTTATCGGATGTATAATTTTGTTCAAAAAAATAATTATAGAAATTAAAAAAAAAATGTTTCCTTTGAATTGTTCCTTTTTAAAAGTCACGTTTATTAATCAACAATCTAAAACATTCAGGTGTATTTCCCTTTTAATGTTCCATCCCATAGATTGGAAAATGTACAAATACATATATTACTATTATTATTATTTATACCTTTCGCACTTCGATTGAAACATTTTCTTTATAAGAAAAACAACTTTTATTATAACATTAAATGTATTTTATTTTGAAATACCTACTTGTTTACGTATTCATGATTAATTATCCTTTTTCATACGATTAGATGTCATTCTATATATAATAGAGTCACGACCTGGGTCCATATCTGCGATTGCAACTGTTAAAAAAGTACGTATGTGTATATATATGTAAATATTAAATATTTTAATATATGAGCCATTTATTTACCAAATCGATTAAATCCAAAAAACAAAAAGCAAAAAGAAATTAATATATATTGTTGCATTATTTATTATTGAATGGCCTTAAAAATTGTTCTTATTTAATAAGGTTAAACCTAATTATTAAGGAAATTAAGTCTGAATATTAAAAATTAAATATTGATCAAGTCCTTAGCTAATAAAATTTTTTAAAATTCTAAAAGTGAAATTAGTTGCTTTGGGTTATAAACGGTTCATATAATTGTTACTATTATATATACTTATATTATACATACTGCAAATAGCAAGAAGAGAGAACACAAAGACCACTCCAAACCATAAAAAGATATTAAATATAACTGGATAATTGCTACTATAATATTTAGCATGATTCCATTCATCCTGAAACAAACAAAAAAGTTAATGTTTTATACTTTTTCTTTAGACTCTGTAATAAACATTATAAATAAATCAATAAATATGGATATATATATGTGTATATATCTATGAAGGCTATCTTTTATATAACATACATGTATCAAAGCATATTTTTCTTAAAATAAAACATAACAATATTTATGTTAAAAACAAATCTTTTCATAAATCGAATAAAATAAAACAATAAACTATCTATTTTATTTTCTATTATTCTCATATCTATTTATATTAATAACTATTCGTATTAATAATATTTTATCAAATTCGTTCGTTGATTATTACATTGTCTTTATAAAATTATAATGCATTCAAGCAAATAATTTACAATCTTGCAAACTTCATGCATATATAAATTACAATAAAATAGCAAAGCTTGTTTAAAATAATTTTTATAAATTCAATAAAAATTCTTACACGGGAGACATTTGCTAATCCTATTTTATACATAAATGGATGGGGCTACTTAGTGATTTTTTGCAATATGTATAAATAATTAATAAATATAAAAGGAAGATGTGTATAAGAGCATTTTTATACTAAAAAGACTAAATATAAATTGAATCTTTTAATTTAAGCAACTGAAAATGTTAACATATGTCTTGTCACTTTCTCTAACTCAAATACTAATTTTTTAAAGTTTGCAGGCACAAAATTGTAGAATGCATGTGTATGTGATACCTGTCCTACATTGATTTTGTTAATATCTATCTGATTTTCCATATTAGTTAAATCTTGACCGGACTTTTCAGTGTTTCCATTATTAGTATTTACATCGCTATATTCAGTGGTGCTGTTGACTTTAGTGTTAATTTTGCTAGCACTATGAATATTAGTGTCTATGTTTTCTTCATCACTTATATTTCTGTTTTCTTCTTCTTGGTCAGCTTGCTATAATACATGTTTTTTGGCAATTTAAAATTCATATCATTTAATCCGATATTAGAAGAATCACAGTAGCTGTATATAGATAGTTAATTTTGGTGCAATTCGTACTACCAATAAAAATAACCATTCAATTCATAAGCAAAAATGTGCTATACTGCAGTTATTCAAATGACAAGTATCTATTGTTATTAATGTTCCTTTGTTCTGTGTATAAATATTATTTTTCGTTAATATAAATTTGCAATAACAACTACTGTGAATATATACAGGATAGGCTGACTAATTTTACGATCTTGATTATATTCATTTTATAGCAATTGTTATAAATTTTTGTTTAACTATAATTCATAACATTTTTTTAGTAGCAATAAAACTAACCAAAAATAATCAAGATCAAAAAATTAGACAGTTCATTCTATACAATATTATAAACATTATCAAGCGATGCATAATGCAATTTATAATATAAGCACAAAGCTAACTTTAATTAAATAAATCTATTGTAAAAATTTAATGCAAATAATATATACGAAGCATTTGTTAGTTATCTATTTTAGGATTTACTTAATTACTTTGCAATGTGTATAAAAAATTAGTACCTATAAAAAAAGATGTGTATAACAGCATTTTTATACTAAAAAGACTAAATATAAATTATACTTTAATTTGAGCAAGTGTAAACTTTTTATGTCTTGTCACCTTGTCTAAACTCAAATGCTAATTTTTTTAAAGTTTGCAGGCACAAAATCATAGAATGCATGTGTATGTGATACCTGTCCTACACTTTTTGTGTTAGTATTTATCTTATTTTCCATTTTAGCTAAGTCTTGTTCAGACTTTTTAGTACTTCCACTATCAGCATTGGTGTCGCTATATTCAGTAGTACTGCTGACATCAGTGTTGATTTCGCTAGTACTATGAATATTAGTGTCTATGTTTTCTTCATCACTTATATTTCTGTTTTCTTCTTCTTGGTCAGCTTGCTATAATACATGTTGTTATTAAGCAAAACTAAATATAGAGTAGTAATTTAATCCAATTAGAAGAATCACAGTAGTTGTTAATTTTGGATGTGGTATTAATTATATAATTATAAAAAATGCAGGAATGTGTTAATCCAATTAATCAGATTAAAAGTATTCATTGTTATTGATTTTTATTTATCAATGTAGAAATATTATTTTGCTTTAATATAAATTTTTAATGACAACTACTGTGAATATACAAAATAGACTGATTAACTTTATATTCTTAATTATAACCATTGTATATACAGTAATTATACTCATGTTACTATTATTCAAAACATTTTACAATAATTGTAAATTGTAATAATTGTATGTACAACGGAAATAATCAAGATTGTAAAATTGGATAACTCATCCTGTATAATACTACATTAACTGCTCGTCAAAATTATTAATTGTATTCGTTGTTTTGTCATACATCGATAAATGTAATGCATACATATATTTATATATATTTGAAAGTGAAATTCTTATTATAAAAATTCTGTAACTTCCATTTTTAAAACAATAATTATTTAATTTTACAGAATAATTTAAGCAAATTATATTATCTTCATTTGTCTTACAAATTGTAAAAGATGTAATAAATTATAATTAAAATATAAAGTAGAAGCTCTTTCTCAATTATTACATATTCATTATTTTTTATGAATTTTTTAATTCGAATTAATAATAGAATAAGAATTGAGCTTCTTCAAAATGCATATAAAAATAATTAGAGCTAACCGTTAAACAAAACATAGTAGCTATAAGGTCTGTTAGTATACTCACTACTTTTTTATAATGACTACACAAAGATGCAATAAATTAGGATAAGTTACTTTATTCCGTAGCTTATTACAATTGCAAATAATATGACATAGAAAAAATTTCAAGAAATTATTTTCAAAGAAATAATATAGCAAAAATAAGAATTCTATTACAAAGAAAATATTAACACATAAATATAAATTTATTAATTATAAAAATTCTATTAAAGAAATCAATTTTCTTATGTCTGTTAATTTATCAAAACTTTCTTTTTATTATGTTATATTATTTTCAATTTAAATAAATAAAGTAATTTGTCACACAATTTTCTCGATCTTCATGTAAAATTATTATAAAATAGCAAGGTGAGTAAAACTTGTGTACCTTCTATAGGTAATGTATAAATTATTTTCCATTTTTTATTTGTAGTTGAAGGTGAAAGAGAGTAAGTATTCAAGTGGTATGGTTAAGTCACACATGCACGCACACATACATCCGCATGTATGTTGTTTTGTGTATAATGCTCAATCAAATCATTTGATAACGTTTAGTATCTTTCATTAATTATAATGTTGTGAAAATTATATTATATTGCATAATTCAATCACATGTTAAATGAAATCATGCATAAGACTAAATCTAATTAGATTTTCCCATTTTTGATAAAATATTGCATGCAACAATTTAATGATACCTTTTTAATAATGTTATTACTATTAAACTCTGTATTACTGGATTCCACCATGGATACTATGTTTTTATCCCTATTATCCTATAAAAGACATATTAATTAATCAAGTATAATGGAAATAATTTAACCCTTATAGTTCATTGGTTTTAACTCTTATCCAAATTGCTAGAATGCAGTTAGATTCAGATGGATTTAAATGTAGCTTGTCCTAATATTATTCCTTTGGCATGTATATTAATTGATACTGGCTATTCGAAGCATTTGTTATAAATATCTTATCCTTAAACATTTTGTATGTACTTCTCATATGCAGTCATACACGAGGGATTATAATAGCTTGTAAATTATATTTTATAAAAAAATGCTAACCTTAGTTTCTCTGCGTTGCTTATTAGAAGAAATTGAACGAGTATGGCGTACTTGGCTAGGATCATTTGTGAACGCTGCGATTAAAACCTATATTGAAAAGAAACTTTAAACTTAAACTGTATGAAAAAAAAAGTAAAAGCTTTATATCATAATCAAAATTACTCTACAAACCTTGTTATCATAAACCTTCATAAATGCATCACTAATATCATTTAAAGCATCATTCAATAAAAGAAAAGCTTCTTTAGCAGCTGTCGAGTTTTTTCCATGCAAATCTAATACAGGACGTAATCCTGATATTACAAGCCAGTAAACATCTGATTTGTCATCTGCTTTAATCGCTGTAGGTACTTTCTTTGCAATTGCACGAAGTAATTGTATCTCTTCGAGAAACTTTCGGTCTTCTTCATTTGTTAAACGTAGCGCTACAAAAGATGACTCATCTATCGGAATTGGTTTGAGCTCACCAAGTGCAGATTGTCCAAGCTATATTATTATTAATATTTAGAAAAAAGTTTAATATTTATTTTAAGTATATAGCAATTGTCAACATGTATTTATACTTGAATATTATATTAGTTTTAGTTAATAACATACAGCATCAAGACCATCTCCTAAATAAATTCTGACCAATGTGTTATCATTATCTCTTTCTGCAAGTCGCCTGCTTATTGCTTGCCACGTTGTTTCTTCAATTTCATCATCATTTAAGTTGAACTTTATTCCATTTGGTATATCTAACGTATCAACTCCTTCTACCACAATACTAACGACTGCTTCTGGTAATGAAAATGGATCTGTGATGGAAATACCTTCCCAAGTTTCTCTCTACAATAATAATCATTAAAATATATAAAAATAAGATAACATTAGTAACGATTAAACTGTAAAAATGTACTTGTTTAGCGGTGAAACCCAAACTAGCAGCAAAAACTTCTTTCAGTAAACTTTGCTCAATCTCTTCGTTTCCATAAAAAGATACACTATCAGGACTACGAAGTACAACAAATTCACCATGGGCCCAAACTGTAATTCGATAACAATTATAAACAAAAAAATATTTGATATATTTTGGATATATATTTTAATTATAGAAAATATTGATTTCTAACCATTAATGTCAAAGAATGTTAATATTGAATCGTTACACTTACCCCCAGTTAAAGAGATTAAAAAACAGATAAATATATTCAACATCTTTCCTTTTAACTTTTTAATTCACAAAATAAAATGAACTACTAGACACTCCCCCGATATTCAGATCAATCCTTGTTGTACGATCATATGACATATACTGGAAATCGTACGAAACGACATCTATATCGTCATTAATTGCATAATGTACGAGAAGACGATGGACACTGTATTATCGACAAATGGTATATATATGTAAGGACAGTAGTTTTAGCTATATTGAATTTAGCGCGTAAATAGGTAGATAAGTTAGATCTCTGTATTAAGATAGGTTAAGGAATAAAACAGGTGACGTGAGTGCTACAAAGAAAGCAGGAGTGAAAAGATACAGAGATTAAGAGATATATGTAAGAAAATTAATCAAGAAACAACGGTGTGGATATTAGCATTGAATGTTGTTTCTTTGTTATTACAGGTAGG